ATTTTTATTGGTTGATTTTCCTACACAATTTAATTTTTGAATATATAACTAGATTGAGGCTTTTCTAGCAATTACAATAATTATATAAAAGTCTTAAATATTTATGTGAATAACCCTCTAAAGTTAGAATTTGAATGGAAAAAAGTTCAATGAGTATAATGTCATACGAGCAATGTGACATTTTACTAGCAACTCATATATTATTTAAATATTGCAATGAAATAATAGTTCATTTATTATTGCATTTGCATTTGCAGTGTTCATAGCATGGTGTTGGAGATATTCTAATATGTAAAAAAATGCACTCTTTGATATCTTATAAGAACTTTATATGTTCTGTTTTAGCACTATCTATCTAATGTGAATGTGGGGGAGATTATGACCCCACTTACTAAAAGCAGGTGTGGGAGGTTATATGGTATTGTTCTACTTTGATCATGGCCTCACTTGCTAGAGGCTGGTGAGGGAGGTTAAAGAGAGTCATAAGTGAAAGTTGAGTTATAAACAAGCATCGGGATGCATGCATTTTAATCATTTATTTGCATGTATTAATACTTTTATAAATTTAGTATGAAATATTTTGAACTAAATATTGATTATTCATTAAATTCTAAATGAATCCTAATAAAATTTGAAAGCCAAGTGAAAGTAAACATCTGATAGCAAGTGATTAGTGATGCATATAAATTCTTTATGAAAGTGGTTTCAAAGATGTAAGTCGGAACTTGAAATTATGAGTCAGTTTTTGTTAGTATTTTATTCATTCTTTGCAAGTCATTGTATTGATATTTGAGATGAGTTGGAGAGAAGTCTACTGAGCTGGTTATGCTCATCCTATGATATTTTTTTATATTTCAAGGAAGGGTAAAGACCCTGCAATGTAGAAAGGTGTTGAGGCTGGATCTTCTAAATCTTAAGTGACTGAAGTATTATTTTTTAATTCAGTGTTTGATTATTTTGATATATATAATTCATTGAGCTGGATATATGTTATTTTTTAATGAAATTTTGATTTTACTAGCACACATTGTCAATGTTGGTGGTTGAGTTGTTTAATTATATGTTTAAGATATCAATCCTTCCATTAGATCATAAAGCATCATTCTAACACCTTGATCTCAAAACTTTAGCCAATGCTTATTCATATATAAGACCCACTACATCAAAGTTTTTGCATGTGCAAGCTCTTTTTCATAAATTAATATAACTATTGAGGTCATCATCTAGGACATGTAGCTCAAATTAATTAATGAGGGGGACAATCAAGCTTTGAGCCTTAGTGAGGAACTTCCATAACGTTTCATTAATTTTCTTTTCTTAAATGTTTTTTTATATTCACTAAAAAAATATGTCTATTGAAGAACCATTTATGTATTATATGCCTTAAAATATATAATAAAGTTATCATTGGATAATAATGTATGGTATTAATGATTTTGTTGAAACTCTTTTAAATATTGATTGGCATCAAGCTATTTATATTTATAGATAAGAAAGAAAGAGTCCACTACTCAAAGCTAGCTTCATTTTCTAAAAAGAAGTTATTGTTTAGCTCTTGATACAAAATTTTTGAAAGTATCTTTAGAACTCAACTCCTCTATAATCCTTTGAAGCTAAGTGATATTCCTCATGGCAACTATGTTATTGAAACTCAATGTAATATTTATTGATATTTGATGAGTGAAAGCTCTATTATATGCCTAGGGAAATAATGGTCGATAAAATACTGGCAATGTTGTTATGTCTATTATAAACAAGCACAAATATTCATAATGCCTACCGAATCTCTTATGTTGGTCATAAGAAATAACCAAGACTCATTATCTCTGAGTGTGCTATTACAAATGCTATAGGATAAATCTTAATATTGGCATCTTACATAGCGATGATAAGTAAATGTCCTTCACATCATTTTTTTAATTGTGTTCCATCCAAACTTAATATTGGGAGACATGTAGGTTTGATGCTTTTAATGGAAAAATCCAAAACAAAGTGTACATACATGAAAATGTCCTTCATTATTAAGCTACGTATCAATTAATGTCCCATAAATTTTTATATAACATGTATAAGTAAATGATAGTTTTTGAAATAATGCTTTAGGTGTCCATTTAACATGCATGATAATTTTATCACAATGCCATCCTCAAGTCTTATCATAAGACAAGCTAATAATGTGGCCCCTCTTTACATCTAATATGATAATGTATACTCGTGTGTATAGACTGAGCATTCGGACAAAGTCGTAGGAAGAGGCACTCACCTCAAAGGATCCTGACCAAGAGAGACACTTACCTCAAAGGATCTAATTGAAAATGTGCATTTTTTTACTTAGTTAAATTTGTTATTGCTTATCGTTATACAAAATTATGCAATTATGAAATATGCTCAATTGTATTTTAATTACTACAATATGATGAAATATGTATTTATGTGATTGAATAAAGTAATATTGAACAATTTTCTCTGTTGGGAGATATAAGGGGTCAGAATCGTTTGAGTTGTTTTTTGTGACAAAAAATATGAATTTGAAAAACTCTAAAAAAATGTCTATTGGGAGTTGTAAGGGGCCAGAATCCTTTCAGATTCTATCTTAAAGTGGGGGACATTTTATTGGGAGTCATAAGAGGCCAAAATTCATTGAAATTATGTTTGGGACTAGAAAAATCTGATATGAATTATTCTATGATATAAATCTCCACTTTAATTATATAATCAATATTATTAAGTAAATCTGGATAACTGATATGCTTTTATTATCCTGCTAAGTACAATGATTTATTATATAACTTTTAATCGCATTTAAATATTCTGAAGTATGCTTGATAAAAAGAAATATTTAAAATTTAAGATTGTCGTTTGTGAACTACTGAATTGTTGTAGCTCACTATTATTTTATTTCAAATTTTTAGTATCTGGAAAAAGGAAGGAGCTTGTTGATTAGTAGTTCAAGATCTGATTAGAGTTGATAGGTATTTCTTTTATTTATTTTTATATATTCATGACTGGTTAATTATTTAGTTTTGTAGTTTCTTTTTGTATCCTTGTACTGTAATATAAATTCATTATAATCAAATAAAAAAAATATTATGGATGAGTTTATTTTTAATGCTTGAATATTTTTGTAGCTATGTACTATATTTATTTAATTAAAATGAATATTAGAAGAGATTCTGAAATATTCCAAAGCTAGATCTTGAGATTTACCTGATGCAGCCTAATAAGATAGGACCTGTTAAGATCGGGTTGTGTTGTAACAAGTTTTCATGGTATCAACACAATAATTTTGAAAATTAAATCATAAAATAGAGTTATATGAATTGATATGTATGTCAAGTGTGATAGTTTTGAGTCTATGTGGATGTTCATTATTTCTTTATGTGCATGTATGTTTAGTTACATATTTCGTACGACTATGGATCCACCAAACCAAGATATAATAGATGGGCAGAGTGCTAGTCAAGCAGCTCATATATATAGTATGGCTTCGATAGTTAGTTCTGATACAATTTCATAGTTTGTTAATTTTGATAGCTTAGATGATTGGAAAAGCACATAATAGAGTTTCTGTTGTTAGATCTGATGATACAAACATATATTTTCAAATATTTTTGTGATTGACATCTCTAAGGTTTGAGGGCGTTGTTGATCCCAGAGCAGCAGATGACTGGTTAAGGAGACCAGAGATGATATCTGACCAGTGTTCCAATCTCTCTTTTCCTTCACACAATGTTTGTCTTAATGAATATGCCTATGCTAGTTCCCACATATAAACTCCTCTTCTCCTCTCACATTTCATATCTAAAGATAGTGAAATCAAAGATTAATATTGAGGCATATGAGTTTAATTCTAACTATGCACATAAGGATCTCAAAGAGACTAAAGATCTTTCACGGCCTTTCAATACACATCTTGAGCATAGTTGATTACATGATCACTTCATCCTCAATGTGCTTCTCATCATGCAACCTATGTTAAGATATTTAAACTCTCTTGTTCGAAAAAATTTACGGACGCTTATAAAACACATTAATGATGCGGCGGCCCGACGACAGGCGGCGGCCGGTGGTCCGGCGGCATTTGTTATAATCAAAATTAAGTTGCTAAATCTTCAAGTTCATATATCTTTTATTGTTTCATGATAAAAAACCTAAATTGACATTGATATGACGAAGGCTCAAATTAACTTTATATCATAATAGCAATATCTAATTGATATAACTAATTATAATTTCTAAACATTAATAATGTAATTAGTGAAACAAAAGAATATATATAATTAATTACAAAACTAGTGAAGCTCTTGAAGCTTCCTCTAAATATATATAATATTATTATCTTTTTGGCAACATTAAAAGCCGTTGCCAAAGTGTGGTAAACAAAGAAGTTAACATAATCAAATGGCATTAAATATTTAGATTAACATGCCTAGCTCAAAATACAAATATAGACTTCATTTGTACCGGCTTTCTTACTAGAAACAGCTTTATAGTAAAATAATTTTAATTTTTATACTAAAAATTATTTTGAGAAGCACTAAGAAAGCCGTCCCAAACGAGGTCATATGCGTCGTTTGGAACTGCTTTCTTTCTGCTTCTTAAAGCATTAAAGCAACTTTTTTGTACTAGAAAAATGCTTTAAGAAGCATAAAGAAAATCGTTCCAAATAAAACCAATCTTCAAAGAATGACTCTGCAAAAATATCAGTAATCTATAAATAACAAATAAATAAATTCAATGCCAACATCACTTTTACAGACACAATTCCTAATAAATCTTAAGACATTTGATACCATATTCTTTTAGTTTAATCTTCTTTGTTGAGTAACTTTTTTTCTTAGTTTGAAACAGTTTTTGTTTTTTGTTTTTTTTTTTCAAAAAAAAAAAACTAAGAAATTACTTTAAAAGATAATAAGAAATTTATTCCAAACAAATTATTAGATCAAATATAAGGACGTTTATTAAGTCAACGTAAGAATATAAAAAAATAAATAGTTATTTATTCTATGGTTTACCAACTTAGTTTATGTTGCTGTCATTTCTTTTTCAAGTTATTTTTGGAGCTAAATGACTTAATTAATCACTTATTAATTTTGATTTCAGAGTATATTTTATGTTAGTTAAGAGCAATCAATGGCATGTACATGTAATGAGTAGAGAAAGAGAGTTGATCTCTCAGTTGTTACAGGCCAGCACCAATGCAAAATCCATCAGTCAACTGCACTCTTTCCTTCTCCGCTGTGGTCTTCTTACGGCTGCTGATTGCTTCTTTGCTACTCGCTTAGTCTCCTCCTATGCCAAGTTCACGACCTCTACACTTGCACGCAACTTATTCGATGAAATATCCCAACCAAACTCTTTCCTTTGGAATGCCGTGCTTCGTTCCCACTGCCGAGCGCAGCAATGGGTTGAAACACTTCGCCTTCTCCGACGCATGGCTGCCAAGCCCTCTGACCTGGATGCATTCACACTACCTATTGCTCTCAAGGCCTGTGCGGCGCTATCTGAACTCCGCCATGGCCGGTCCATCCATGCTGTAGCTATCAAAAAAGATTTCTACCATTCCGATATGTATGTCGCAGCAGCACTTGTAGAGATGTATGCCAAGTGCAGTGAGATGGGTGATTCAATTCGGGTTTTTGAGGGATTAACGGAATCAGACGTTGTTGTTTGGACTGCAGTGGTCTCTGGATACCAGCAGAATGGTGATGCCGAGAAAGCAATAGCATTCTTTTCCAGAATGTTGGTTGAAAAGCACGCCATTCCTGATCCTGTGACTATAATAAGTGTGATTTCTGCATTAGGGCAGCTGGGAGATCGTCACGGAGGAAGATGCTGTCATGGATTTCTACTTAGGATGGGTTTTTTTCTTGATATATCTTTGATGAATTCAATTTTAAACTTTTATTCAAAGATGGGAGAAGTTACTCTTGCAAGGAAGCTGTTTGAGACAATGCCTGAGACAGATGTGATCAGCTGGAGTTGCATGATATCTTGTTATGCTCATAATGGTGAACCCATTGCTGCATTGAGGGTATATAAAAGGATGATTGAAAAGGGATTGCAGCCCAATTCTGTTACAATGGTTGGTGCTCTGCAGGCATGCTCTTTGTCTTGTGATCTTCCTCAAGGAAGGAAACTCCATGAATTGGCCATTCAAAAGGGTTTTGAATTAGATAAATCAGTTGCTACATCACTGATAGATATGTACATGAACTGTTCGTGTCACGAGGAAGCGCTTAGTATGTTCTATCGGTTGCCGAAAAGGGATGCCGTTACATGGGCAGCGACCATTGATGGCTGTGCTAAGAATGGATTTGCTAATGAGTCCTTAAAACTTTTCAAGGCCATGCTTTTTGATGAAGTGTGTCCTGATGCTGTAACAATGGTAAAGGTTCTCATGGCATGCTCACGTTTGGCAGTCCTATCTCAGGCTCTTTGCTTGCATGGATACTTGGTTAGATCTGGTTTCAGCTATAAAGTTTATGTAACTTCTGCACTTGTGGACTTATATTCCAAATGTGGCAGCTTAGAAGATGCTGTAAGGGTTTTTGAAGCCAGTTTTGAAAAAGATGTAGTGCTCTGGAGCTCAATGATTGCAGGTTATGGTATTAATGGCCTTGGCTACAAGGCCATAGAAACGTTTGAATATATGGTTGAATCTTATACCAGACCTAACAGCATTACCTTTATTTCAGTCTTATCTGCTTGCAGTCATAATGGTATGTTGGAAGAAGGCCGAAGGATATTTGGCAACATGGTCAATGGTTATGGCGTCACACCTGACTCCAAACATTACTGTATTATGGTTGATCTACTTGCTCGAACTGGAGAATTGCGTGAGGCTTTGAACCTTATTGAAGAAATGCCAATGCCGACTGGCCCTCACGTTTGGTGTGCATTGCTTTCTGGTTGCAGGTCACACCAAGATATTGAAATGGGGGATTTGGTAGCTCAAAGATTACTTGCGGTTGATCCTTCCTATCCTGGATACTATAATCTGATGGCTAATCTGTATGCTTCTGGTGGTAAATGGAATCATGTGGAAGCAGTTAAGAGATTTATCAAAGAAAGAGGACTGAGGAAAATACCAGGATATAGCACAGTCGAGATTGGCAGTGAAATTCACGATTACCTTGCGGGGGAGAAGATACATCAACAACGGGAGCATTCTTATGACTTGTTTAAGGAGAATAGAAGTAAATATGAGAGAGAATGTTATGTTTCTGTTAATGAGGTACATACTGATAAAGAAGGCTTACTATAAGATTGTTTGTAGGTTTTCGTACTATGATGGAAGATGAAGGGGGTGTTTGGTATCGGATTTGTCCGTCGTTTTTAGTAGGATTTAGCGTAAATCCAGCCAAACGCAATCCGCGCCGCTGTAAATCCGGCAAATCTGTAAATCCAGGATTTACGGATTTATGGCATGAATCTGGTAAATCCTTCTAAATCCTAATCACATTTCTATTCAGATTTAACACGACTTACAGTTGCGGAACTTCTTCTCACAGCGCCCTTGTAATCTGTTGCCCAACAACTTCTCTGAATGTAACATGATTTAAAATTTGTCATACCAAATATTTTTCAGGATTTATGAGCCTAGGATTTAGTAGATTTACTAAATCCGGATTTACAGGATTTAGTAAATCCTACTAAAATTGAATCCAATCCTATACCAAACACCTCCGAAATTTCGCTCAGTTGGTAGCTTTGTCTTTGATCAGAAAGGTTGTTTGTGCCTTTGTGGTATGTGTTTATTTCATGATGTGGGCCATATTAATGATCAGGCGAAGTTCGTTTTTTAAGATGAATTACGGTGTAACAGCCAGAACAAAGAACCAAAACCAGTTGGGAAGCAGAGAAGCAATAAAACAGTAACTTCAAAATAACAAGCATATTTTCTGGTAGGTTTCTCCCCAGGTTACAAAAGCATATATATTAAGATAACTAACTTTACCCTAATGGGCTAAAAAGGACTACAGGGAAAGATGACTAGATCTCCTGGTTGGAACACTTCATATCGGCGCTGAGCTTCCGCAATTTGTTTATACTTCAAATTAGATTCCTCCAGTGTGGTGTTAACTTCATTCAAGACATCTGAAAACTGAGTGGACGACTGGGCAGCTTCTGTACTGCGGCACTTAGGTAGTACTACAAGGTCTAAGCGATGATTAGACATCTTTGCATACACAATGTTGAAAGGGCACTTTGTGGTAGATCGATTGGGCATCAAATTGAATGCGAATTAAGCTTGTCCGAGCAACTCAACCCATTGTTTAGGATGTTGTTGAATGAGGCAGCTGAGCATACTGCCAAGAGTGCAGTTAACGACTTCAGTTTGGCCATCAGTTTATGAGTGGTGAGCTGAACTCAACTTAAAATCTGTTTTTAGTATCTTCCAAAGTTCTCGCCAAAAGCAGCTGACAAACTTCACATCTCTGTCAAAGGTGATACTACGCGGCAAACTATGGAGCCGAATGATTTCTTTGAAAAAAAGATGATAAATATTATGTACATCAAATGTTTTCTTACAAGGCACAAAGGGAGTCATCTTCGAAAACTTGTCCACTATTACCCTGATAGAATATGAACCTTTTTTAGTTCTTGAAAGTCCCAAAACAAAATCAATACTCAAATCCTCTCAAATTGAATCGGGAATGGATAAAGGCATGTACAAATTGGATGATTGAACATTACCTTTATATGTTTGACAGATCAAACATCTTTCCACAAAACGAGAGTCGTCACGCCGCATATGAGGCCAAAAGAAACATGATTGAAGTTGAGAAAAAAGTTTTAGCTCTATTAGTGTGTGCAACTAAGCGTCCGAAATGTATTTCTTTGATTAAAAACTAGCACCAAGATGATTGGGGAGTGCACAAACAATTTCCTTTGAACAAGAAGCCGTGTCTAAAAGAGTAGTCATTGAATGGACTACCATTTGTGCAATGTTCCCATGGAACTGCAAAATTTGAATCGAAATTTTATAACATTTTGATTTCCTGTAGGCCTGTTACCTCTGTTTGCAGTTGTGTGAGCAATGCAACCCTCCGACTAAGAGCATCAGCAACATGGTTTAGCTTGTCGGTCTTGTGTCGCAACACAAAGCTAAACTTCTGTGGGAAGAAAACTTGTCTAGCATGCATTCGGTTGACAATTTTCTGTGCGTTAAGGTACTGGAGAGCTTGGTGATCTCTGTATAGGACAAAGTCTTGGTGAAGGAGGTAATGTTCTCATTTTTGTCTGCTTTAACAACCGCATATAACTCCTATTCGTATACAGACCACTTTTGGCTAGTTATGTTGAGGTTTTCATTAAAAAACTCAATGGGGCGATCATCTTGGGGCAAAACAGCATTGATGCTGGCAAGCAAAAGCATCTATGTCCATAGTGAAAGGTTTGTCAAAGTTTGGTGAGGCTAAAACAAGAGCCGAGCTTATGACCAATTAATTGTATCAAAACTGCCTTGTTGGCTGGAAGACAAATTGAAAGAACTTGGTTTTAAACACTACGTAATTGGCACAATGACAACGCTAAAGCCCCAAATGAATATTCGATAGAAGTTTTCTAAACCGTGAAAACTCCTAACATCAAAACGGGATTTTGGAACAAGCCATTCCATGATGGTGGAGACCTCAGAATTTTTATTGCGTCCTCCTACCTGACGTAGAGATACGTCCTCCCACCGCCAAAAAACTCGTTTTTTGCTAGGTATTATTTGATAATAACGAGGAATATCATCATGTGAAGACCAATACCGAGTTATACCGAGCTGTACCGAGCAATACCGATCAATACAAAAAAATACCGAGTTCTTTCTAGGAAAAACTAGTTATTTTTTTGTATTGCACGGTATTGTTCGGTATAACTCGGTATTGGTCTTCACATGATGATATTCCTCGTTATTGTTTGGTATTGCTCGGTATTTGCTCGGTATTTCTCGTTTTTTAGCGCGAATTTAGCTCTGGGAGGACGTATCTCTACGTCAGGTGGGAGGACGCAATAAAAATTCGGAGACCTCACGAGGGTCCATCTGCACTCCTTGAGAGAGAATAAAGCCCAGGAAAGATACTTTATAAATATCAATTTCACACTCGGATAGATTTAGATAGAATTTGTGGTGTCGAAGTGTTTGAAAAATTTGAGTGAGATGTTGGATGTGATCTTCGAAAGATGAACTAAAAAGTAAGATATCATCAAAATATGATACACATAATTTTTCAAAAAAAAAAAAAAAAAAGTTTTAACACCTCAATCATAAGCCTAAAAAATGTGGAAGTCAAATGGCACAACCTTCCACTCATAGACCCCTTCTTTGGTTGAATGTCATTTTTCATTCATCACATAGTTATATACGGATCTGATGATAGCCGCTCCTCGAGTCGAGTTTTGAAAACATGGCAACTCCTACTTTGTCAAAGCAAATCAGAGATATTGGGAATTGGAAAATAATACTTGACTGTGGTTTTGTTTATGGCTATGCTATTTGCTATCTATACAATGCATTGTATATTGGATGATGTGACACCTTATCATTCACATTCAACGTCCGCACGTAATAATTTCTCCTGTCAATGAAATTAACTCCACAAGTGGTATATCTGTCGTGGCATTTTTCTATCAGATCTTATTATAATTTTTGTCTTTTTTTATTTTAGGATGTTACCAATCCAGTCAATGCTCTTCCCCAACAAAATTCCATTAAAAATTTCTCATCTTAGGGATTTTTTAGGATTTTGAAAGAAGGATTTTACAATTTTTACACAGAAGAAATATAAGTATTTGTTTAGTAAATATAAAATTGTAAATTTTTATTTAAAAACTCAATGGGGCGATCATCTTGGGGCAAAACAGCATCAATGCTAGCAGCAAAAGCATCTATGTCCATAGTGAAAGGTTTGTCGAAGTTTTGAAAGGCTAAAACAAGGGCCGAGCTTATGACCAATTAATTGTATCAAAACTGCCTTGTTGGCTGGAAGACAAATTGAAAGAACTTAGTTTTAAACACTACGTAATTGGCACCATGATAACGCTAAAGCCCCAAATGAATCTTCGATAGAAGTTTTCTAAGCCGTGAAAAATCCTAGCATCAAAAAGGGATTTTGGAACAAGCCATTCCATGATGGTGGAGACCTCACGAGGGTCCATCTGCACTCCTCGAGAGAGAATAAAGCCCCAGGAAAGATACTTTATAAATATCAATTTCACACTTGGATAGATTTAGATAGAATTTGTGGTTTCTAAGTGTTTGAAAATTTTGAGTGAGATGTTGGATGTGATCTTCGAAAGATGAACTAAAAAGTAAGATATCATCAAAATAGGATACACATAATTTTTCAAAAAAAAAAAAAAGTTTTTACACCTCAATCATAAGCCTAAAAAAGGTGGAAGGAAGTCAAAATAGACCCCTTCTTTGGTCTTTAATGTCATTTTTCATTCATCCCTTAGTCGTATACGGATCTGATGATAGCCGCTCATCGAGTCGAGTTTTGAAAACATGGCAACTCCTACTTTGTCAAACAAATCAGAGATCATGGGAATTGGAAAACGGTACTTGACTATAATGTAGCTAATGCCTCTAATATCTATACAATGCATTCTATATTGGGTGATGTGACATCTTATCATTCGCATTTTGACACATTCAACGTCCGCACGTAATAATTTCTCCTGTCAATAACACTAACTCCACAAGTGGTATATCTGTCGTGGCATTTTTCTATCAGATCTTATTATAATTTTTGTCTCTTTTTTATTTTAGGATGCTACCAATCCAATCGATTCTCTTCCCCAACAAAATCCCATTAAAAATTTCTCATCTTAGTGATTTTTTAGGTTTTTGAAAGAAGGATTTTACAATTTTGACACAGAAAAAATATAAGTATTTGTTTAGTAGATATAAAATTGTAAACATCAGATATATAAATTAAATAATTGTAAATGCTATTCATGAACCTTACCATTATTTGATAAAAATTGTTGTTTGTTTGCTTCAAAATAACCACAAACTTTTTGGTATCTTAAAGTACAAGCAGCTAGCCGTGATTCAAACTTTATTTGTGACATGCTTTGACTATTATTTTTTCACTAATTAAAAAAAAAATTACTAAAACATTAAATTTAAAAAACAGTAAAAAAACTATTCCCAAGTAAAGCCTCAGTTTTCCTTTCGAGATTCGATCAATGCTAGGATTTCTTATCATCAGGAATATGAAAATTTTCGTAATAAGGGGATTTCAGACGTTAAACGGGATGCTTTTTTAAAAACACTATTCAACAGCAAAAAAATATTTCTTCCGCATAACTTCCTTTGACAATAATTTGAGAAATTTTATTAAGTTCATATAATATTCATAAAATTTGTTGTGAAAAATAATAGTACACGGACTTCCTCAATATAATACACCGAATAAGATTTCCAATTTTATCACCTAAACACCCAAAAAAAAAAAAAAAAAACTAAACACAAAAAATAAAAAAAACAAAAAAAAAAAAAAAAGAGGACCTGCACAGCTTCCCTGAAGCAAGGAAGAAAAACAAACAAAACTTCAGATTTGAATTCCTAAGTGGAAAAAAGTAAAACATGTAGAGAGATGAAAGAGCAAATTTCAATTGTCCAGCACCCTGCACCAATATAGTAACATCTGAGCTTCAATATCAAGCTATTTACAGAATGTAGCCAAAGCATGGCTGTAAGATCGACTATTCATGGAGGCATCTATAATCCCTGGGAGGCTTCCTCTTGCTGGAGCTCTTCAAAATCCTGCCATTCAAGGATACTTGGTGAGATACAAAATTTGCACATTACTACCAATAGAACCAAAATTCTTACTCTAGTTAGGCTTTCGTTTAGGACGGCTTTTTTATTGTTTCTTAAAGCAATTTTTTAGTACAAATTTATTTGTATTAGAAAGTTGCTTTAAGAATCACCAAAAAAGCTATCCCAAACGAAACTTTAGGGACGGTTTTTTTACTGCTTCTTAAAGCAGCTTTCTAGTAAAAAATTAAAATATTTGTACTACAAAGCTATTTTAAGAAGCGGGAAGAAAGCCGTGCCAAAAGAAGCTTTAATGTTACTAAATCTAAAAAGCATAAATTAAATAGATGCAAACCCAATTCCACTAAAGAATTCTAGTTCCACTAATTGAGTCCAATGCCCTGCCCAGCACAGATTTCCAGGGAACAATACAATTTGTATTCCAGATTGAGTGCCCTGACATATTCAACATGAATAACTAACAGTACTAATATACCTTCAGAATGGAACATGTAAAGACAATTATTCAATGTCCTTAACTTCAGCTTCGATATCGACGATTGTTGCAGTAGAGGTCCCTGTGAAGTTTTATTTCATTCATTAGGTCCATCAGGCAAACCTTGAATATATGTGACATGGAAGTAAACTAGGATGTGATTAAAACTTTTTTAAGAAACAATGCATGCCTTGTTCAGAGCGAGAGAAGGATCCATTGAATACTTGTTCAGGTGCTGCAGATCGATTGGAAGAAAACCTAGTGGATTCTCTCTCAAATTTGTCACCTTGCACTGCAAAAGCATTAAAATTAAGTAAGCTGCTCCAAATTGTTGACTTCACATCTTTGCGAGTGCCACAATTATGATAGGAAACACTTGTAGATCTTAGATATTCCCTATCAATCCTTGGAAAACAGCGAGAATTCTCCACAAAAATCCACACAAAGTCAGGAAAACAGTAGATAACTTGTTTTATTTGATGAAATAGAAACAGAAAATACCAAGAATTGATCCTCTATTCAAGAGGAGGATACATCTCTCCCAAATCTCTAGACGTTGCTAGAGCCCAAAGAAAACCTATGAGATCCCAAATTTCAGCCAAAAATTCAAGATGCCCTAACCCTAGGAAAACAAACTATTTAATGCATACAAATCAAAAAGAAATCCCTAAACAGTCCCAACATTCAAATTTCCCCCCTAACTCCCTCAAAAATCCTTCAAACGCCTGTGCATGCGTTCAGTGCGTACAGGAGGCGGAAGTGTCCGCCTCTGTTCGCGTAAGCCGGTCCCCTCGGACCGGTCAAACAAAGTACTACAGATTAAAGATGATCTCGAGTTAAGTATCTTCTTGTAAGTTAAAGATAAACTTATTTTTATGAACTACATTACAAGTCTGGTGAAGAACTACCCTCGTTCATATAGTTTGCGTAATCAAGCACCGCATTTTAATAGACTTTACAGAATCTTTACCCATTTGGCTTATTTAGTTTTGAAGGCTTCAAATTCAAACTGTTCGCACCTGAAAAAGGTTGGGTACAATATGGGCAGAACTGCACACCATCCTTCAATGAAGATCTGCAACCAAGTTGCTAGGAGTCAGTGCCCGCTGGCTACCAGAAAGCAAACCACATAAAATATGTAGCTAGTATAAGATAGAATAAATTGATTCTTCTTACTTAAATATCTGGAAGTTATTTCCACAATTGGGACACTGCAGATACAAGTTCACGTAGAAGATTAGCTGCCTAATATACTGCAATACACTTGTTGATTTAACTTAAAAGCAGATGGTTTGTTATAACTACAACAGGTTACACAATATGCTTTTCTACGTTTTAATCATATAATTATGCATAAAAAAAAGACATCCATTTAGATAATCTTACATTGCTTTGTATTATATCTCTTCCAGCAAACCAGAAGAAAGCTCCTAAACCCACAATAGGAAGCAGAAATGCTAGGAGCTGTAGATAAAACATTATGGCCAAGGAGGTGTTAGCAATAGTTTGAGAATTTACAGCTTGAAAGTTCAAAAAATAAACACAAGAAGATAATAAGAAAGACATGCTACCCATCCTAACTACTGACTATTACTGGTACCTGTAATAGTATTGTTGAGCCAACCAAGAACAATCGACGCAAAAATGAATTGCAATGAAAAGAGTACGATAGACAATTGAATAATATGAAAAGATGGTTTCTTCAAAGGGAATCACTCCTAAAGTTCATATAATTCGTTCTAAGAATACATTTTTATACCTTGATTTCTGCTTAATCAACAAATAGCTGATTACTTTAATGGCTCTCTAGGATTTAACAGGTAAGGGAACAGAAATTACCATAAGAAAGTTAAGGCTCTTTAAAATGAATCTCATTATCATCATTAAAATTATCCCAATTATTATGAATAATCAGTAACCATTTATTTTTTATTGAGAGCAATTCAAGTTATTAAATATTTTTTGCACAAATATTTATGAGCAACTTCTATTAATTTTACTTCTGCTTCTGGTCTATCATTTCCTCCCTAATCCTACTACTTTTTATTTCGTCTGCCTGTTAATTGGTGTCTCTTTAATCCATCGATGTGCATATTCAAATCATACAAGTCTTTCTTTCGTCATCTTATCTTCAATAGGAGCTACTCTGATAATCCATCTCATAAGCATGTCTTGATATATACTCATAATTTTTCCATGCATCAATCTTAGCATCTCATTTCTACACAATTAACTTTACCATGATGAATTCATACAACAAATTCTAACTATCATTTAATAAAATTTGCCTATAAGTCCTCATTACATTATATTTTATGCATAGTGCCCCTCTTAAGGCACTTCTTCATTTTAACCACATGGCCTTTAACTCTAGAAATTTTATCTTAAATCTATATCTTCTCTTTCATATACTATATCCGAGACTCTTAATCCTATCACACTTAGGTATCACTTGACTTTCTAGTAATATTGACTCATAATTATAAATTACATGTAAATTAAAATTGCATATAATATTCTCAATCTTACTCCTACAAATCAAAAGTCATTTATCCCACAAACATTTCCTCCTTTATCTTAACTTTACAATTATTTCAATAGAAGTATTACCAATCAGACTAACATCATCTACAAATAATATAATTCAATGCCACTTCAAATATTCTTTGCAAGTATTTTTATAAAATATACAAAAAGATACCAATTTTACATTAAAACCATGAGGTAATCTTATTATCATTGTCAACTCTTTGGTCCCTCCATAACTGCTACTAATTTTATTAATGCTTCTAATTATTTTAAGATACCCTTGATATAGCTTTTTCCTCCTAATGCACATCAAATAAGTTCTCATGATGCTCAGTCATATACCAACTTACGATTAATTAAGAAAAACTTCGAAAATCTTTTTTCTTTTCCTCTTTCACTATTTTTCATTGATTGACTTATCATTAAAAAAAAAACTCCATGGGAAATCTTGCTGGAATAAAATTAAATTGATTCTCAAAGTCAACATAACTAGTAGTGAATAAATAGCATGTCCAATTTAGCAGCATTCCTTCTGGAGAGAACTTCAATTTTAACAACAGGAATCACATCACATGTATAGTAGGTCATGCTTCTATAGACTCTATAGCCTTTGGCTCAATTGAACCATTTGCCTTGTGACAGGACTAAGTGAAATGAGTCTACAAATAGAGATTTAGGCTAAGATAACAACAAAGATAGCAAAATAAACTTCATAAAACATTAAGAACAACGAGAAAATTTAAATTATTAGATCATGTGATAGCAAGAAACTAACAAGTAAAAGCTAAACAATAAAAATAGGTGAATCAATTTAGACTAGCTAATATGGGTTAGCACAAGTCCAACATTTAATCATGCATTATTTACTTTGACATACTTCTTCTATAACAAAATGATCTTCCAATCTACAAATACAACAATATCAAGAGGGTTATGTTTAATGAGCTTTTTTAATATCTATCATTCACAACTTATCCTATTGTTTGGCAAACAAATTGATGATTTACAATTGTTGAATTCCTTTATAGACTTTACCCCTTTAACAGGTGCAATCACAATTGATGGCTAATTCCATCATTTCCCCATTGCTATTTTTCAACAGAGCAATATCTACTTCTTCCCCGCCAATCTCCAAAAAATTTACCTTAGCCATAGGATATCATAAAGACGGGTGGTCGTGGAGGAAAATCTTTTTCTATATGTTTTCATAGTGGATGAATTATTCATCCTTCACATTGCCATTGGTATAAATATGATTATCTGATGCAGACATCGGTACGAATATGTTTTCATAGTGGATGAATTATTCATCCTTCACATTGCCATTGGTATAAATATGATTATCTGATGCGGACATCGGTACGAAGATTTGGCGCATCTATCACAGGCGGCGGCGTAAATCGACGGGCATTATTTAAATTTTCATTTATGTATTATTTTCTGAATTTTAGCTCTTGTTTTATGTATTTTCCTATTTTACCCCTAGGATAGTTTATGTGAGTGCCTTGGCCCAAGGGGCATTTTTGTAATTTTGATTTTCTCATGTTATGGCTTATATATAAGGCCTTAATCTATTGTAATGGGATGGTTGATTAATATAAAAAAAATTGTTTCCACACTTGTGTTTTTCTTGTGATAAATCCAGATTTCTTTCAGTTTTTGCAAGGAACAATTTCAGATTTTGGAGAGGAGATCCTCTCCATAGCAAAGCTGGCGTTTTCGTTCTACATCATTATCCTTCCATTATTCAGCATGCCATTTGATCCTTGGATGCTACTATTGGTTCTCCTACTTCCACCACCTCCTCTAGATCTATTACTTTTTATAAGAAGGATTATGATTGCCTAATTCAACAATCTTAGATATTCATGTATGTTTCTCATGACATTTCTACCTCTAGTTTTGTTATTGTTGGTTCATTTAGTGCATCATGGAGACTAGATTCAGGTGCATCCTCATATATGAGGAATAATCAACAATTCTCTTCCTTAACACATCTCCTTTGTCACCAAGTATTGTTATAGATGGATCCCATTATCATGTCTCAGGGAAAGGCTTTGTATCCAAGTCTTTAGCTTTCTTTTTAAAATATTTTACATACTTTCAAATTTCCTATTAATTTACTTTCTATGCATTGCTTTGCCAAAACTCCTATCCACTCGATAAAACCATCTCTTTATATTTTTAAGATCTTAGTTCAAGTAAGATAATTGGTAGAAGTGTTGAAGCTAATGGAGTATACTACTAAACACACGCAAGCTCCTATGCTCTTCCTTCTAGCATCAATCCCCATCAAGAGCCTTGTCATCCATCCACCACCACATCGAATTCTACAGTCCACTTTTATCTCTTCTCCTAAAATTGAATGTGGTACTTGTGAACAAGGTAAACATTATTGAATGTCGTTATCCTCTTATATGTCACCTCATATTTCTTTTAAACAGGTTTGTTCTTATATCAAAGATTTAAGTCATGTTTTAATCCCCTTGGGTTTAGATATTATCATCTTTTCCTAATGATCATTCTTGTGTTATATGGATATATCAGCTCAAACGCATGTCAAAACTAGTGTATTTCAAACTTTTTCTTTTCAAGAAAAAAAAAAGTTCTTTTTTTTATGAATTAAAACTTTTTGCACTTAAAAATAATGATATTTCCCAAGCATCTTGATTAAGTTCAATCAACTTTGGCTGAAAGCCTTGAACTGTTAAGCTTAAAACTAAGCATGTCAAATTCAACGAACAAGACCCGTAGAAATTTTACTATATTATTTTTAAAAAAGACCAAAAATATAAACCATTGCCTTGCTGCATCCTACCATGTTGACATATGTTTCCTAAGAAAATAGAAAAGTGCTTGCATCACACTCTTCTATGACCTCCTAGAATGATTCTCAAAAGCCATTGATTAGATGGATAATTTAAATTGGATGCCTTTTACGCATATGCAAAGGAGTTGTATTATGATAACTAAAATATTTACTCTTCATCAAAATAAGTTTAGGGGTTGAACATGTTCAAGTGTTCAAGTTAGCGGTTTTCATGGGTCTTAACCATTTTAGTTAAGTTCATGCAATGTTTGAGAGTAGGGTTTTACGCATATGCAAAGGAGTTGTATTATGATAACTAAAATATTTACTCTTCATCAAAATAAGTTTAGGGGTTGAACATGTTCAAGTGTTCAAGTTAGCGGTTTTCATGGGTCTTAACCATTTTAGTTAAGTTCATGCAATGTTTGAGAGTAGGGGACTCCCACATGGCATCTTAATGCGCAAAACTTTATAATGTTGAAAATTTTTCATTTAAGGGAGAATGATCATAGATGTGGACAACTCTCACATGAATGGTAATAGATGGTTAGTTTCATATAAGAGTAGAGATTAATCTGAATTTTTTAAGTTAAATAAGAAATGAATTCCGAATTGAGTGGTAGCGGCCCTAATATTTGAACCCCAGTGTACCATCCTCCTAATATTTGGAGAGGTTGAAGAACCAATAACAGGCAAGGTGTTCATGTAACACAACGAAATTCACATAGGTGCATGATAGGCTAACAAACACAACTTTTTAGTAGAATTTTTGTAAAAATAGGTCACTCAAAGGTAAAAAAAAAGATCACACCACCAACAAAAACCTACACAAGTGCCAAGCAATCATAATTAATCAACACAAGGAGATTGAACAAGACTAAAAATCTATGGAAAATTTTAGAATCTAAATAATGAAACAGTTTACCCAAATTGAGACAAGAGCATCCAAAAGCCAACCAAGCTGCCCAGTGACTGTGAGATATGTGAGTCCAGCCGCCAAGACAAGATTTCCCAAGACCCTTGAGCTGTTACTCTTATCCCATCCACCATCATCGGAATTAAAGCCCTGTTTGGCCCTAACCACAAACAGGTTCTCCTTCCGCCCGATTACCTTCCCGATCCCATCTTTATCAAATCCCTTTCCAAGGAACACGCTTATCTCCAGTGGTGACCTTGAGAGACATCCATTTCTAGACAAAAATCCAATCTTTAAAAAGAGAAGAGATAAACCTCAGCTATATTGTTAATGATCTCTCAAGAAATTCTAATAGGAATAAATTTACTCCCAAATATTTTTCTTTTAAAATTTTAAGTCAATTTCGTGAATCACATTTGTTGCATCCTAGAATATTCACGACGGTAGAGAGTGATTATAGTTAGGGTCTTTAGCTTTTGTACAAATATCCAATACACAAACAGATAAGAGAGTATTATTAAAGAGTTTATAAGAAGATGCCATAATTTTTTACGTGAATTCCTCTGAAAAAGAGAAAAATCACGGGGCCTGATCCATTTTGAATAAATCAACTAGTGTTTGCAATTGATTATAAATGAGCCCCTCCTTAGGAGGAATGTCTCGGCTTCGTTGTAGCAAATACAGCATATAGAGTGCATTATATGGTGGGAGTTTTGAAAAATCAGTGTTGATAGGTTCATTTTGGCGGAAGAACAAATAGTTGGCGAGCGAAGTAGGTCGGAAGGATCGTAGTTGGCGATGGTGGTTGGAAGGATTGTAGTCGGGGGCGACAGAGGTCGGGAGGACTGTACTTGGGCGATGATGGTCGGGACGTAGTCGGTGAGCAATGAAGTTAAAATGACTGTAGTCGACGAGCGACAGTGGTCGAAAAGAACTCGCAGTGGTGATCAGCGAACGGGCGGAAGTCCGGCGGTGGGTTGGGAAGAACTTCGATGGTGTTCGATTGAATGAGTGGAAGTCCTCTGTGGCCGGGAAGAACTATGGAAGTGGTCAATGAACGGGTGGAAGTCTGTGTTTGTGTCGACAAACGGGTGTAAGTTCGCTCGTGGCCGGGAAGAACTCTGAAGGTGCCGACGAATGGGTGGAAGTTGTTGGTTTATGCGATGAACGAGTGGAAGTCTAACGGTGGCCAGGAAGAACTCCGGCGGTGGTCGATGAACGGGTCGAAACTCCGGCGGTGGTCGACAAACAGGCGGAACTCCTGAGATGGTTGACGAACGAGCGGAAGTCCGATAGTGATCGACAAACATGTAGAAGTCTGGCGGTGGTTGGCGACGAGGAAACTCCTAAATTCTTCCATTCTCTTCTCCTTTATTCCTCCCTTCTCATGAGAAGAATGGAGGTTTATTTATAGTTTTTTGAGAGTACATGATTTGAAAATATGGGAGCATCAAGGTCAAGATGAGAGTGATTTGCATGGACGACTCGATATGATCCCTTAATCAAGAACCATTTACCAGGCATTTGAATGTCTTAATGATATCAAAACTTGCTGATATGTGCTCATTGGATTGTCTCTGTCGAAGCCGCTTGATTCGACCATAAGCATGCCCATATTAGATGATTATTTGGTTATCTAATCAATTCTTTAAATCCTTCAAATATACTTTGGACCCTCGATTTTGGCTCGTTTGGGCTCGGATTTGAATAGTCTTGGTGTCGTTGAGTTTGTCTTTTTGAGGGCAATCAATTTGACTATAAGTTCTAGAAATTGGAGATCAGATTAACCCATTCTAATTTTGTATGTCTCAATCTCATATATTTACGACAGTTTTATGCTTGACAAGATAAATTTCTAATTATATATATATATATATATATATATATATAAAATATATATAGTATATATATATAATAGAAGTAAAGAATTTATAAGACTTTATAATATCAACATTCGCATTAAAAAAAAAATTAGAACAATAAAATCTAAATTTTTTTTGTTATGTATCTAAGGAATCATCTCATTAACAGAACAAACTCAAACTACATTTTGTTCATATCAGGCCATCACAAACTATCTTTTTCAACTTTCATTTAAAAAATAAAAAAAATCTAACCATTGAATAAACCCTTCACAATTTATCCACCAGACTTCTGATCAGGTATTTTCCATTTCTCCTTCCATGCCCATCCGGGACGGATTTCTCTTCAGCTTCCTTCACTTATCCAAGTCTAGAAACCGTCCCATTGATAAACTCTACATAGATATCCCTACACTCCAATCTCTCCATATTTTCCATTATCCCGCCCTTATGCTCGTCCAGGATGACTTCTCTTCAACTTCTCCTCCATTTCCCTAGTCCTAACTAAGTAAAAAAGGAGCTTTCTTAGGCTTCGGTAGCTCCGCCCGCTAATTCCCTTTCACTTAAGCGGAG